AGAGGAGCACAGTAAGAGTGAGTGTTTATTTCTGGATTGAAAAACTGTAAGTTTAACACTGAAGCTTGTGAATGAATGCTCAATTGAGGAGATTTCCTGAGAAGATGACTACAAACCTTGAAACCAAGGAAGACCCTAGAACTGACCCTCCAAGAATAACAGCAGTGCTTTCTCTTTCTCTCCAAAACCACCTCTCAGCTGGATATCTAAGATAGTTTAGACATTTGTAGAACATGTGAAACGTTGTTGATAGCCAGTAACTACATTGTGATTTCCCTGCAGACCTAAATTGCAAATAGGAAAATTCATGCTAAAAAGAAATGTCTTCTTGGGTTTCTGAAATGTACTAATTATTTATGGCTCAAAGAATTATTGCACTGGTAGTAATAAGCTAGTTCCTAAATGTGTAGTTCACTGTCATGGGTAGTTAGGGTATTAATTAATTAACTTAAAAGCTATCAATTGGGCACAGCTTAAGTGTGAAGAACAGCTGGGGCCTGAGGCTTTAACAAGGAACAAATACAGTAATGAAGTAAGAGAACAGTCAGGTCAGTTATAGAAGAACTCTGAGTGGAATATTATGTAGTTAATGAGAGGGGGAAACACAGACAGAATAACTACAGATTTTTCTTCAAAGTTTAAGAGGGAGAGAGCAAGAATGCTGGTTAACTGACTTGAATGGTTACAATTCATAAAAAGCAGACAGCAGGCAAGGTCAAGTACAGTGCTAGCAAAGGCTACGCAGACTCATTAGCTGTTGGTGAGTTCGCTGGATGCTGAGTTCTGGTCACTTCTTTACTTCATTTTTTTTTTCTGCATCAGTTTCAACTCAGCTCTATTTTGAACAAAAACAATCACAGAATGAGCTCTCTGCACTGAGTAAGGTAGTTCACACCCATCTCAGCATACAGAAGACAGGAGGATGGCTAGAAATTTGTGGCTAGCCTGAGCTACATGAGACATTATCTTAAAAAGAAAAAACAAATAACAACAACAAAAAAACAGAAAAAAAAATTAACAAAATCTGTCTTGACAAAAGCCAGAGGCACAATTCTCCAAATGATAGATCAAAGAGTGGCGGGTGACCAGGTAACAGATCTGACAGCCTGCAACTAGGCTTATTTTGTTACCTTGCCCGAAGGTCCCCCCCCCCTTCTTTAATTGTGTGGAGCTCACTAGGCATTGGAGGCTTCTGGTATTGGCGCTCTAAATACAAGAGCTTTGTTCTAATGTTTGTTGTTTTAAAGAACAAAGTGAATCTGAAACCTGATTCTTTTTCAGATTCATTATCTGAGGCTTTACAGGGATTAAGGCTTCTGAAATCACATGCTAGTTCACAATCATACAGAGTTGGCATGGGATCATTGGTGATCACATGACCTGTGGTCAATGAATATTCCACCTCCCCCATTTCCCCAGCCTCCACACATAAAAACTTCTGTGAGAGTGCCGCTTTCTGTTTGGAATGTCTTTCCTGTAGGAGGCCCCAGGCTTTCTCTTTGGAATAGCTTTCCTGCCAGAGGCCTGCATGCTGAGCTGAGCATCAGGCTTCCATTAGTTCTCCTCAAAATCCAAAACTGAGTGAAGACGAATGAGTGTTGTCTACTAGGCATTTTGGGTAATCCACACTCAAGATACGAGGATGAACCATCTAGAGGTTAGTTGCTACTAGACCCACCATCCTAATTTTTTTCAGTAATTTCTCTTGAACAGGGTCTTGGGGAGACATCTTACAGGGGTATAACAGCACTCGGTAAGCCTCAGAGCAACAAGTCAGGAGATAGGGGTGCCAGTGTTGATCTCACTTTGACTTGTTTCCCTTTGGATGAGTCACACAAAATGTCAGACATCTCTCTCTTTCTCTCTCTTTTTTTTTCTCAGAAGAACAAAGCATGGTGTTCTTGCATGAAGCAGAGCACCGAGTACTTTGTTTCCTTGTATGATGTTATGTAATAAACAGCTTTCCCTTGGCATTATCCACAATTCATACTACTTGGATGACTGGTTTATGTTAACCTGGTACTTAGTTCATTCGGCATACGTGTTTATGGTCTGAATTTCCTTTATCCTGATTGGACCCACGCCTTATTAGACGATCCCTTTTACCGCTGATTATTAAATGGAGCAGCTGCCCATCATGTTCATGCTGCCTAGCGCTCTCGTAACCTCTCAGTCTTTCATTGTTTGCAAGTATAATGATGGTTAGCATATGTCTCCATGGATAGGTCACCTAGGGCAGGGAGTTAGTTAGAACTTGTGCTGCTGCCTTTTGATTCCAGTATGTTCAGATCAGTATTAGAGGGGCTAAAACATGTTTCTGCTTAGGTTTCTGGAGAAAAAAAATAACCAAGGATCCCTTTATCAAGAGTGTGAATCTGATCTTACTCATGCATTGGCCTTCCTTATATGGAACAAACATCCAAATGGTATATTTCTCTTATTTGTATGGCATTACCGATCCTAACCAGATGGTTATCAGTTAGTATTATTCAGGATTCATTCTACTTTCACCACTAGCCAGTGTGATGAAGTAGTGCCATCCTGTTCCCATGGTGCTTCTAAGACAAGTAGCAGCAACAGAAAATACCTTTATGCTGGAGTTCTGCTCAGAACTGTAGGAAGGTATGTGCCAGCATCTTCTGAGCTCAGCTATTTGTCACTCCTGAGCACCATAATACTAAAGGCCAACCTAGCAAGAGATGAATTTTATGTACCTACAGGTACACACTAAGGACCATAGAGTGCCATACATTTGCTACACATGGGCCCTAGCTACCTGATGGGGTTTATGTATGGGTAACACAAAGGCAGCAAAACAATGCCAGCTTTTTGTTGGAGGTGAGTGGGCTGTCTCTGGAGGAGAGCGCTCACTGAGCACTAGGAAGAGATGACGGTATGCTTATGAGGATAAAGGCTTCAGGACACACTTGTATGGATCTAGATCTGACTACATAGGTTGTGAATAGTATTCAGGCATCTGCTTGACTTACATTCTCTAAATAATTTTTTTATAAAATATTTAAAAATGAAAGAAAGTAATCAGCAATACTGGGAAAATTACAGAAAAGTTCATGGAAACTTTAACATACCATCATAGGGCAAAAATATTTTATTTTTTGTGAAATATTTGTAAAAAATATTTTATCTTTTAAGATTAAAATATAACTATATTATTTCCCTCTTCTCTTACTTCCATCCAAACTGTCCTGTGTATTTGGTTGAAAAAAAAAAAGAGAGATTTCTGAATAACATAGCCAGAATGTATTTCTACACATCAACTGTAAGCTTTTCAACCCACACATGTTGAGCTTTTTGTTGGTTTACTGTTACACCAGAAAGAAATCTCATATCTGAGTCCTATGTCTGAAACATTTGGTGTTTTCAGCTGCAGGGACTTACCTTCACCTTCTGGGAGGCTACCATGCACAGAGGCAAGAGCCTGCACTGTCCTGGGAGTTTCTTAGACTCCACTAACCAGTGACTCAATAGGATATTTCTCATACTTGCAATTAGAATTTAGTTAGATTGCCAATGGCTCTTGGGGTAAGCATTATCAACCATAGTGTTTTCTGTGTATATATATGTGCTTAGCATGTTTATGTGTATTGTGTCTATGTGTAATTTCAGATAAATATAAAACAATATTACTATGTCTTTCTTAGGAATCTTTAGGATTATTCATCCCTCCTCTGTCCCTCCTTCCCTCCCTCCCTCCCTCCCTCCCTCCCTCCTCCTGCCCTCCCTCCATCTTCCTCTCTCTCCCTCAATCCCTCTCCTTTTGTGTGATTCTTCCTCCCAATCCAAAATTAAACCCTCCCAGTGTTTCTCATCCCCCCTCATATCAACTCTACCTTCCTATTCCCTCTTCAGACTTCGTATTTTAAATATTTAAACACAAACCCTTAACTTCCTGAAATACCTCTTACACATTTGGATAATTATTTAGCTGGCTATAACTTTTATACATAGAAATGAAAGAGCACTCATTAACACAGCTGAATAGATTTTTCTAATACTGTATTCAGGGACAACAATAATAGATTTATAATATGGAATACTCTCATTCATTAAGAAAATAAAAATAAACACTTTGCAATTCTGTTCATTAAAACAACTTTAAAATAAAACTAATTGGATGACAGTAAGATTAGTGAAATTAGAGAGGAGGGAGAGAACACTGATAAATAAATGTAATTAATTAATTAATTACTACTAGAAATGAAGGCGAGAAGAGAATAACACAACACAAATACATCTCTGACAAGGGGCAGTTAATAATAAAAGAACAGTTATGTCAAAAGTACCAACATACTTGGCAAAAAAAGAAATTAGGTTGTTGTATTGCAAAGTATCAAATGTGTGCCTTTAAATGTGCAGTATGTATTTAAACATCTGTTATGTATGCTTCTAAAATTGGTGGTAGGCTGCTTCCCATATGTGCCTCCTTCCAGTAGTCTCCACCTTCAGGAGGTGACCACTAAGGTTACATAGCATAAGCCGGTCTCAGAAACCCAGAACAAATAAAATGAAATGCAGTGGTAAGTATAGCTATTTTGCAACACTGTAGGGACACAGCTTTAGTAACAAGAATAGACCTCAACCAGGAATAGCTTTAATGGAGGGACTGGAAAGATTCTTAGAACCTTTCTTCAGCTTCGTGGCACAAGGTCGGACAGGTGAATCTAGGTTTTCTTCAAGTCCTAAGGAGCCTAACTCTTAGTAGTCAGAGTCCTGACTGCCACTTAGGTCTAGCAAGTCCTGGCAAAACCACCTGACCTTGGTGAGTGAACTCATGAAGAAGTCAGTGAGTGCTTGCACACATTGGCTTGGCCCTCTCAGAGGTTAGCATAAAAGAGTAAGATTGAAGCAGGAGAATATAAACTTCTGATGCTACAGAGTGAGTCTTCAGGTGACAGTGTTGTTCATAGTACACGAGGATCTGTGAGGAATCCCCTGACCTGTGTGTTTGTGTGTTTGTGTGTGTGTGTGTGTTTCCTCAGGTTTTCCTCATCCAGATAAGTTTTCCTGGACAGACTACCTGCAAGCTACTCAGTCAAAGGCAGTCCCCGCCAAGGCCTTTAACACGGTGAGTTCCTGTGGTGCCCACTCACCTACATGAGGTGAGTGAGCCTGGCTGCTGCTGCTGCTCTACGTGACTCTAGTTCTTAAATCCAGGTGATGATTTCATAACCAACTTGCTTCACTTTTGATTAATGGTGAAACATTGCACTTATGGGCCGTTGCAACTACATTTCTGCATATAGAGAACAATTCCTTATTGGGAATCACAAAGAAGGACATAGAGATGCTAGCCTGAAATGTCTCATCAGCCATTGTAGGTGGAGAACTTGAAGCCCATTTCTCTGGGCATACTGAGTTGAGAACTCTGGACTTTCTGTGTGCTTTTGTCAGGGACTGTTTGAATAATGGTGGTTATGTAATGAAATAGGTGAGACAGTGGGTGGAGTCTGGTGGGCATAGGTTTATCTATATGAGGACAATGTTTGTTCTAGCAATTATGAGAATACTGATGTTTGTGGTTCAGGTTTACACATGTTTATTCAGAGCTTAACTAGGTAGAAATTAATTTGTAAAACATTTTACATAGAGAAGTGATATAATTTAGAAATATTTCTGTTCTAAATTGGTGGATGTTAAAAAAATAACAAAACCAAACAACAAAAAAAAAAACCCCAACTTCTTCCAAATTCTGATTTTTCTCCTTCTGACTCGACTTAACTTTTTTTCCCCCCAAGACAGGGTCCTTTGTGTAGCCCTGACTGTCCTAGAACTCTCTATGTAGACCAAGATGCCCTCGAATTCACAGCGATCTCTGACTCCCAAGTTCTGGGATTAAGAGCTTACCTTTAATCATTCTAGTGACAGACAAGATTCAAAACAAAACACTGTTTTATTTTTCTAAGAGAGGGTTTAATGGCTAGATGTAGGTACACAGAAGAATGAAGTCTGGGGTCCTAGGTTACAGGAGTTTCAAGGTGTCAAAACTTTAGTAGCAAACGCGCCAAATGTCTGGTAGCTTCTCTTTCTCTCTTGCCTTTTTCCAAATCTTCATTTGATTTTCCTAGAGAATGAATAAGATGATAGAAATATTTAGCTACAAAACCTTCTAGACTCTGTCATGGATTATCTTGGATTCAGCTCAAATATGTACATTTGGCGTCTACAATGTGGAACAATTGCATTCCTTGTGGAGGAGACCAATCTGGGGGAGAAAAGAAAACTTCTTAGACACCTAATTATATGACAGCCCATTTAGTAGGCATAGTAATGCTTTCAAAAGGAAATATACTTGCATACAAGCTGTGCTGAAGTTTACCAGATACTGGAGAACGGCCTAACCATTTATAACTCACACATTAATAGAGTTTTATTTTCTTGTGGCCACTGCTAGACTTGAAGAATTTAGTATGATTTTATTTCCCCGTAAAGTCAGCTGAACACTTTTCACAGGAAAGGGCTTTTGAAGGGAAGCCTTCTGCTAACCTGTAAAAACTCTTGGAATAGTCTCACTTTTGACCACTACATTTCTTAGTACACCCAGTGAGCTCCCCATCCTATTTCCTTTATTGCTTGTATTCTTGTCTTTATGGAGTCTTGGTCCCAAATATTTTAAAACTCAAACCTAGAGTTATAGGTGAGTTGGTAAAAGAGGAACTTATGTCTTTAAATTACATCGTGGTTAGATTTTAAGAGACTTCCTAAGTTAAACATAAGCAGCTTTTCTTTAAGAGTATATTAAAGTTTAAATTTAGAAAACACTGTGTTTATCTTTTTTGGGTGATGTGCTAAATAAATGGAGTATCTTTTAAGACACACAGTTTAAATGGACAGCAAAAATAGTAAACAATCCTATTTTATATTGATCTCAGAAAAAATCTAAACAAATAGAGAGACTGTAGTTAAGAACCTTTCAAACCTTGATGTAATCATTGATAAAATTCATAACTGAATCTGTCTTTGTGTTATATAGTTATCTCAAAAATATCCAAATTTTTCTTTCTACTAATAGATTTCCATAATGCTGATTTTAGCATGTGCATAGAGTCCTATATGCTCTTAAAACTAAATCCCAATTTTGTTAAAGATCTGTGTGTTTGCACCACCACCACGATGCTAGGGCAGAGCAGTGGGCACCTGGCTTGTTGGCTTCCCTGACTTCTTATGCTGTGATGTTGCAGAGGGCTCCACATGGTTTTTTGCCAAACATGAAGTTGGAAGCTGTGGACAAACGTAACCCGCGGTTAATTCGTGTGGCTACCATTGCAGATGTTGATGACTACAGAGTAAAGGTACATCTTTACTTATTATATCGGTTCCCCAGTATTTCTTGCACCTCCCCCATCTTGTTGTTTCCTTTATCTTCCTCAGTTTTTAATTCTAATGCAGAGTAGGTTTACACTGGAGAAAAGTTTTTCTGTGGAGAAAAGCCATTATGGATCTAGCCTTGATGACTGCTTTCAAGTAGAGGATGGAAATAGTTTTCTTGAGACAAGAGACCATGTAGCTCACAGAGCAGCTACAGGGTGATGCTTTAAAGCCTACAGCTGCTTTCTTCTCTCCTTGCATGTCTTAGGGTATTTTTATGTGAATTAGGCAATCTCTGGGTAGAACAGGACCATGACTGAGACTCCTAAGACATTTCTACTTGGACATTCTGTAAGTTCTTCCTTTTTAAAAAAAAAAAAAAAAGGATTTTTTTTTCTCCTTTTTGTTGGCATTATTGAATTTTTCTTGAACTCATTGTCATGATTTCTATGAGTCTTTGTTTTCTTCTTTGGATATAAAGAAAACCAAAATGAATTTTGGTCACTGTAGCCAAAAAGCTGGAGCTGAATCAAGGAGCTGATGAACAGATTTCTGTATTGTTCTTATTGAAGACACATCTTTGAAATGGAATTTTCTAAGATAAAATCATTTGGTCTTTTTCATACAGAGAGCAGAAAGCATTTGTCAGCTTGACTTCATTATATTTTGGAAGGAATAACAGTTAAAAACATTTTTTTTATCCAAGCACAGTTTGTTTTCATAGTAATAAAACCAGTGAAGTAAACTGATTTAAATAGGCATTATATCAAAAATTTATTTGTTTGATGTCAGTTTGATACAATTAAAAGGAAACTTTACTTCATTTGCTTTATCTTTCATTTGAATAATTCATTTGATACAGTTGCAGGTAAATGGGTTTGATAAAATTCAGAGGTAAGGGTGGGGCTGTACCTCTGCATATTAGCAGCACACATGGTGGGATTCTTTGTTCATCTGACAAAGTAACAAGTATGTTCATGAACCAAGTAGCTGTTGTCTCCCATAATACTTTGCTAGCAACATTGTATCTTAAATTCCATTGTAAGTGTGGTATCTTTGTCTCATTTTGACTCATTGTTTCTTCCTGGCACTGGGGGTGGCAGCACATGCCTTCTCACATTGGCTCTGCAATAAAAAAAAAATCTCAAATAGATTTACATTTATAATTGTCATGTTTAGTTACTAGCTTTCATTTTAAATTTATTGCATTTTGGTTTTAATAACATACAAAAATGATCTAGAATTTTATTAAAGAAATATTTTATTGATATTCCTAAGAAATGTATTCTGCCTTCCACTTATTTGCTGCCAGCTTATTATATGAACATCTTGAATTAACCTATTTATTATCTTAAAATATAATTTGAAAAAATTTATCTCCTTGAGTGAGTTTATTAGATTTCTCATTTGCCATCTCAGCATTGAGATTTTAAAATCTTTTGAGCAAAATATTTAGCCGATCGCTGCAATGCAATATTTCATTTTTCTTGTTATTCTTCATAATTCACGGAAGCTCTCCTTATTGGAGGAAAAAGAATATGCAGTACTTGTGAAAGTATTAAAGCCATAATTATTATCTCTGTGGTCTTTGGAATAATAGAAGGCCTTTAGAATTTTAGAGTTAAATTAAAATATGGTTTTGTAAGTGGCTACCTTATATAGCATGCAGTCTACCAAAAGGTCCTAGTTTTGGAATATATTTAAATATCTTGAGTCTCACACATAACCTTGGCCAATTTTCTTGCTGCCTATTTTTGGCAGAACTTGTCTCTACTCCCTGCCTTCCTTCAGCCAGTCCCACAGATGGGTAAATACTTATCTTGCCCTATGAGGTACAGGGGAGATCTGTGAACTGATCATTTTCTAACAAAACACAAGAGTCAAAAGTATTAACTCAAAATGTCCCTCCAGAGAAAAGGCATTAAAATGAGGGCTGGATTTTTCTCCGATCTCTTGTGTACACAGGCTGAAGGTCTTTGGCTCGTGAGAAAGTATTTGAAGCTTTTTGATCTCCTTTCTTGGCAATTCCTATATGTCTCAATTGGTGTGTTGATCTCAGCATTCTATGATGTTTCTCCTACAAAGCCAGTGTCTTTCCAGTACTCTTAAATTATTGGCCCATAGTAGACACTAGCAGCATGAAAAGAGGAGTGGAGGAGGGGGGAGCACTGAGTGTACTTTGGGGTTCTATCAGTTGAATATGTGTAAACTTTTTCCTTATTCTCAGCCCTCCTTTCCTAACTAATCCTCTGTTAGAAATCCGATTCTGCAGAAGGTGTCAAGAAATGCCTCAGCTTGATCTGAGTTTGACCTCTTGTTCTGACCCTCTTAGCTTTGCAGTTAGTTTGGTAATGTCGCTTCTCTGATATGTAGCTATTACAGTAGTAAATGAAAGGACCGTAGTGGACGCACCGACAAAGGTTCCAGGAGTTATAGACACTGCAATGCCAGACAGAACCACTCACTGGGGAATGAGCCATCGTTCTGAACTCTAGGCTCAGTGTATTATCCAGTGTACTGCTACATCTGTATTGTCACAATAACTTCTTTAAGAAGTTTTTGTCTCTGCCCTATGGTTGATGAAGAGAGCTTAAGGAACATCAATATAGGTTCAGAGAATTAAACTCAGAGCCAAGGTTATATATATTGACTTTAGCTGGCAGCAGGGATAAGCTGTTGAGACCCTGTTACTACTTCAGGGATGCATGGTCTGTAGCCAGATTCAAGGTCACATTCTTCTCATTTCACTCTACTCTTAGGCTGACTATTTGGTTTTCATTCTAAGACTATCTGTTTGGCCAACTCTGTCTCTCCAGGAGGTCAGTGGTGAGGTTTTACTTGCCATGATTGGATATTAAGGTGACATTTTATTCCCCTTATGTTGATGTCTGGACTTATTAATTACCGTGGTTACTCTCTAATAAATATTTATGATAGACTTGCTGCTTCTTGTTCAATTTGGAGCCAACCATTATGTTTAGTAATTATTCTTTTGTTTGGCTGCACACTGCACTCTGCTGTATCCGAAAACCCATTACTGTCATCTTATCAGGAAATCCACATTAAACTACAGTAGATGGATGGGTACTTTAAGGGAGTTTAGACTGTATTCAGGGGCAAAGAATATTCATCTGTGAGAAAATACAAAGGGGGGATTTAGAACAGAGTAATATTTGATAAATATTTGCCCTGTGGGAACTGAAGCTAAGCTGTGAAATAAATTATAAATGAATTCCAAATAGATGTTTTAGGAAGTTCTACTGAATCATTAATAAATTGAGTCTCCTCAGCAAGCCTTTTCATATTTAATACATTAACTGGATGTATTTGCGGTCTTTCTAAGTGAAATAAAGACACTCTGATCAAGGAAACTTATGGTAAGCTGTCCACTTTCATGACTAGAGATTATTTTGGAGTTTAGATTAGACTAATGAGTTGAAAATCTTTTGCTTCCATGAATCTTTAGGTGAATTAACATACAGAGGTCCAAATGTAAGTGAGCAAATGTTAATTGATTGACAGTTGCCTTGTATGTGGCCTCTGGAGTCCTGGTTTAACTGTCAAGGAGGGAACCAGATCTAGAATAGATCATCCCGCTTGTCAAAGTTTCTTTCTGGGACACATTTCTGGAAATGGTTTTGAGACACGAGAATAGAAGAAGATAATTGATTTTAAAAATGATTTTTATTTGAGTTGTAAACTTATAATCAATAGGCATTGTTGTGTCACAGTAATTGTTTACTGTCTTCATTTGGAAAGAAGACTGGGGACACTTTTAAAAAGTATTCTGACCAATTAATGAGAAGATCATTTTTAAAGCTGGTGAGACTATGAATTACCGTCAACCATAATGTCCAGAAAAGTTGAAGTAGGTAGAGTGTCACAGCTGGGGAAGACACATTAGTGGAATCATGATCACCATGAACAGCAGTTTTAATACTCATGATGCTTACCTCAGCAGGAGTCCAGGGCTGCCCTTCACATCCTGTACAGCCATTGCAGCCACCTGTAATGAGTATGAAGCTGAGGGAGCAGGTGTAGGCATAAGGTGCAGGATGCTGTTACCCTGATTCTGTAGCCCCAGCTTCTAATCTAGGGGAAGAACCTTTGCTGTGAAGCACCAGAGAGTGACTATTTCTTACTTGTGATCTTGTGGTAAACCATGTGTTTGGTGTCCTTATAGATGATATCCAAAGGGATGGATGATCCTCCAACTGGTTTCCACAAAATACTTCCATGTAACAATATATTCTTATACTTTTTGCTAGATCTACTTTTAGCTTGTAGCTTGAACAAGAACAGATGGCAGCAGACCCCCTGTTTGGCCTGTGGGTTATAACCCACCAGCTCCTGTCTTAATAGAGTTCGTGTTGACAGGAAGATGAGATGAAGGGATTGTCATCTGCAGTGTAGGTAGCTTTACATCCCTGCACCGTTTCTTCTGTTTGATTATTGAACCAAATCACACCTATATTTTTCTTTCAATATAGTTTTAAATGTTTTTCAGTAAAAAAAAAGAGTTATAAGATATGATGTCTGTTATGCTATTAATAACAGGGTTGTAAAAAGAAATGTATTTTCCCGATACAAAACAGTTCTTCCATAATTGGATTTTCAGTGTAAATAGAGCCCAGCTCCCAAAATGATGAGCTGTCGCTCATGCTATGGACTCACCTATTGACCAGAACTGTATTCTTCCCTTCAAATGTAGGGAGAGAGTTACCTTCTCAGTTTTTATTAAAGTTATTCTACTTAGAACAGAAACAAAGGCCAGACAGCCAAATGCATGACTGCAGCAGAGGAGAACTGTCAAGCCTCCTCAGGAGCTCCCTCATGCATCCAGCACATCCCGTGTTACCAGCTATCCTGGGAGACCAAGCAAGTGTCTGGCATGACTGTTTGGCTGGAGGCTTCATCTGAGTCATAAGGCTAGCTAGACTAGAAATAGAACAGTTCACAGCTTTCTGGGCAGAGCACTGTCTGT